CTATATAAATACCACGGTAAACGTGAAAATCCTGGCTTACTTTCCCAAGCAGTTGTGTTCTTTCCCCTGAATCTGCAGGGAACGCCAAGTGTACTTGTCAGAAGAGAACAAGCTGTGGTGAGAGTTCACAATGCAAGAGCTGTTTGTGCTAATTGTGCTAATTGGGGGCTCGTTGATTGTTCCTTCACTGAGATTTGTTTTACCATTTCTAAAGGGAACTGAGAAAAGACCTGTGCACAAAATAAGAAACTCAAACCACCTCAACTCCCCTGACCAAAACCTGAAGTCATACAACTCCCCGGCAACATAGGAGACTTGGCCTGCAGAGAAAGGATGAAGGATGAATACAGAAACTCAAATATTTTCCCACCAAGCCCTACAAGTGGACTGAAGATCAGAAATTTTAATTCAGAGCACCCTGGTGACACGGACAGCAGCATCACACTCCTGCTGTAAGGCTTTTGTTGCTGTTAAATTCACTCTCACTTAAGTCTTTGCTGCCCAGCCTTTTGACAACCTTAAATTCAGCCTGCCACACGTGCTAAATCTAGAGGGTGTAGACAGGCTAAACCAGAAATAAATCATATTACTGCTACATCAGGTTGTGGCTTAACACGAAACTCCTTCTCCCGGTGCTTATCATGAGGTCTGAGTGACGTTATTTTTGACAAAACATCATTGTACAATTAAAAAATGAAGCAGTCAGAAAGTTACTTGCAAAAACAAGCCCAGAGGCAGATTGTTGGGAGAAATCACCATTCCAGGGCAACGCCTGGCAGCTGCCACTGAGTGATCCAGGTCCTGGGAGGTGTTCAAACAAACGGCTGGGGAGAGCAGATATTCACTCACACACACCTGGCAGTTGGGTCTGGGTGCTTTTTTGAGATAGTTACTTTAAAGGCATGCAGGATATTCAGCTTTGTGCACTGAGAAATAACAGGAGGGTCCTCTATCAACCTTAAATTGAAAGAAATCCTGGCTTTTGGGCCAAGCTTCAAACATCTTGGAAGAATCTACTGCCCGAGGAAGGGAGAGAGAGACTGTGACGAGAGAAGTCTCCTCTCTGTCCCACACAACACTGGATCAACTACACTGATCCACACACTCTGAATACTTTCAAGTTTGTAGCAACCAGCAAAACATCAAAGTACCTGGCACAAGATACAGCCTGTTACAGCAAAAATGCACCACAGTATTTTTTTTAAAAGAACTTTCATGAAAAGCTGATGCATAAATAATCTTATCACTCTGTATCTGGCTTAGTCTCATTTTTCTTTTACATACCCATTTAAAATTAATGTTATTTCTGACCAAATGACCCAACATATTTTTTAAAAAGTTAATTATAAAGTTAATTTGGATTGATACTTGCTTTAAAATGTACTGTTTTGGTGGGTTTACATGGGGCCAGACAGGGTAGAGCTGGAAGTTGCAGTTTAAACCTTTCAGCACAGGTGACATCAGAGATGTAAACTGCAACTAGTTAACACACCTCTTGGAGGTAATAAATCATCTCAGACTTGACAGGCTACTGCTCACAGACCCCTGCTGCAAATGTGGCAGCAGCAGATTCTCAGCAGCTTGGGCCTTGATGTGAAAGCAGCACAAGGTACCTGAAGTCTCACTGCCCACTAGACCATGATAAAAAGGACAGAAGTAGTAAAAAAGTAACAGCCTCCCTCGCCCGCTTCGACTTGGAGTAAGTGCTTCGCACAGCCTCACCCTCCTGCCAAGCTGGAAGGACTTTTTGCTAACTGAGTCCAAACATTTCATGAGAATTGTTTCAAGTTTAGGCTGTGAAAAAGGCAGGCTTTTCATCCGCCAGCTAATTAAGCTCATTGACCAACACACGGGACAAGCGCTGCCGAAAGCCCCTCCCGGCGAAACAAACTCTTATCCTCGCGTTACATTTCCTAAAGGACATGTCAGTGCGGGCTAATTTTCCACAACTTCTTAGCACGGCCCGGGCCACCCCCTCGCAGCGCCCAGGGCCACAGCAGCGACGGACTCACGGCAGGAACCCCCCGGAAGCCGGGC